TTTCTGTTTTATAACTAATAAAGTAATATTATGACTATCTTTTATGAATTTATTAACAGAGAATACTTTCATTCCGAGTTTAAATTTCTTTTTCTTTCTTTTTTTCTGACCTTTGTTCAGTTTCTAAGTTATACAAGGGATTAGAAACAGTTCACACAACAGTTCATGACAATCAGTTTGGAGGTGGGAGTGAGAACTTCAACCACCTAATGTCTCCACGACAAGTTGTTAGCATCACGAGGACTGGAGAACTAGCTTCTTTGGTACCATGGATGAAGGAAGGTTACTGAGATCAGTTTTGAGTTTCGTATATCATGTTCATCAACATGAGAAGTTGTAATAACTCGTTATCTTAAGGTTTTTCTCATCATTAACCGTCTATGTAGGGATGAAACAATTCTGAAAATGAAGCGATGTGTGTTGACACTGTATTCTTGTTGATAGAAGAGAAAGAAGAATGAATGCAACCGTTCTGGACGGTTTGGGAGGAATGCAACCGTTCTGGACGGTAGGGGTGGAATGCAACCGTTCTGAACGGTAGGAGTTAGAGTGCAACCGTTCTGGACGGTAGGAGTTAGAATGCAACCGTTCTGGACGGTAGGTGCGGAATGCAACCGTTCTGGACGGTTTGGATGAGACCCGGATCAGTCCAGGCGTTATCCCTGGCTTGGGAGCCGATTTGCTTTTCCTCCTCTCTGAAGGACCTCCAGAGAGGGAGGAGTGGAGCTCACCGGCTCCCACCGCCAACTGAAGTGATTCGGCTGCTCCACGGCTTATATACCCCCGCGGGAANCTCCCACCGCCAACTGAAGTGATTCGGCTGCTCCACGGCTTATATACCCCCGCGGGAACGCGCCACGTGAAAAAAATTTTTACGTGAAAAAAAAAAGACCCGGTCGTTCTCTTTCGAGAAAACGATGTAACTTGGCTCAAAATTCATGGAATCGGTTGTTTTCTGGGTTATTTCGGATCAGAATTTCATTTTAAACTCGAATGTAATGTCTGTTTATTATTTTCAACAAAAATTTTACAGAAAAACTCTAGAATTCACTTCAAAATCACGTAGAAAGCAGAATTCATTAAAGACCCCGCATGCCGGCTCATAACATGTGCTCTACTGCCAATTGTTGATTCGAATCAATCAATAAACAAAGAAAAAACATTTATTTATATTTATTATTTTATAATTTAGAGAGTTTCTTCTTCGTTTTATTTCATTTTTCTTTTGTCTTAGAAGGGTTTTAGTTGAGTTGAGAGGTTTTCATTTTGAAACGAAAAAATGAAAACCCGGT